ACTAAAAGATGGGCTAAAGATCTAAACAGAGTTCTCAGAGGAAGAAATAAAGATGACTAAGAAACATCTCAAAACGTGTTCAACATTGTTAGTAATTAAAGAAATGCAAACTAAACCACCCTAAGGTATGACCTTACCCCAATCAGACTGGCTAGGATCAAGAGAACAAATGATACCAAATGCTGATGAGGATGTGGAGAAAGGGGAACGTTCATTTATTGCTGGTGGGATTGCAAACTCACGCAACGCCTATGGAAAACAGTATGGAGAACTCTTAAAAAACTAAAAATGAACCTACCATATGACCCAGTTATACCACTCCTTGGCCTATACACAAAGGACTCATCCTATTGTAGAGACACTTGTACAACCATGTTTGTTGCTGCCTTTTACACAATAGCTAAGAGATGGAAGCAACCTAAGTGCCCCTCAAATGACGAGTAGTTAACAAAATTGTGGTATATTTACACAATGGAGTTCTATTCAGCAGTAAAGAAAGATGAAATAATGAAATTTGCAGGTAAATGGATGGACGTAGGAACTGTGATGCTAAGTGAAGTAACATAGACTCAGAAAAACAAACGATGTATGTTTTCCTTCATATGTGGATCCTAGCACCAAGTCCTTTTAAATTCCATGTCCTTATAAAAAGATGATGCTATACAGCAGTCTATTCTGCATCAAATAACTACTATCATCACGACTTAAGCTGTGCCTGATCTGACAATGCTGAACACTGTCATACAACTGGGCTTGTTGATGGTTGTGCTTCTTCATTAAAGGAGGACCAAGCAAGGTCATTGGACCCTCACCAGAGTATCCAGCCACTCTTCCCAGCCAACTGTATGTAATTTGGCCCTAGTCATGCATGATCTCCTGGATTTGGGGAGGGCTAAAGTATACAATCTGGGGAAGGATAGGAAGAGAAGGCATGACCCATGCTGGGTAAAAGCTTTCCAGTGTACATACCCCTCAGGTCATACATACACCTCAGCAACCCCTCAGTTACCTCAGTAAACTCAGTAAATTCATTCGTTCCCCAGTAAAACTTTAATCAAACATTGGCTTGACACTAGAAACTTAAAAAGGGAATAAGCATTGCTTAGTATCCCCAGGAAAAGAATTCTCACAACAGATGGAAATTTTATTTGTTAATGCTATTATGTCTCATAATTATTAAAAAAAAAAAAAAAAAAGAAAAATGAAAAACTTTTTAAAAGGTTAGG